GTACGAGACTTCCTCCAAAAGTCACATGTCAAGTCCCCAAAACGAGCGTTTCGTACGAGACTTCCTCAAAAATTCACATGTCAAAGTCTTCAAAACGAACGTTTCGCACGAGACTTCCTCCAAAAGTCCAGCGGAAACACCCATCCAAGCAGTTTCGCGAGTCCAGCCCCTCCAAACGACACCCGCTCACACGCCAATCCCAATGCGGCAGCGACATTCACCTCTACCACAACTCACAACCTCCCGATTCCCTGCGCCTGCCACGAATCTTTCCGCGTCCACACGTCTAACGCGCGCAAAGTACTGTGCCTGCCACGAAATGCCACCTCCGTCACACATCGCAACCTCACGGTTCCTTGCGCCTGCCACGAAAATCCCACTTCCACACCTCAAAACCCGCACAAAGTCCTGCGCCTGCCACGAAAAGTAACAATGTCATCTCATGTGAGCTTCAACAAAATTTGCGCCACACCACACGTTTGGAATGATTTCGACCCGTTCTGAGCACACTCCCATCCACCAAAATCGGCATTTCAGCTGAGACTTGTCACGAAAACAGAGCTTCGATGCCACACCCTGAAACGCAAATCCCAATGGCACGGCCACATCCAACACCCCAAAAACACGACTCTCCAAACGCTAATCCCAATGGAACTGCGTAGCAAACTGCGGATCTCACAAAACGCTGCGCCTGTGCAGCGAAACGCATCACGCTTCTTGCGCGACATGTCATTTTCACGCAAATCACAATGGACTAGCGTCGCAAACTGACACGTGACACATCCATGAATAGTCACTTGCAAAAGCTTCCCCCAATGGCAGCGCCTTAGCGACCTACTGCGGACGGTTGCGAACGGTTGCGAACGGTTGCGGACGGTTGCGAACATAGAAGCAACGGGTCGCGAACAAGACTCTACCCCCAGACCCCCAAGAGTTAAACGAGAACCCTTCGCTACGCATTCGGGAATAAAAAAAATTGGTTGTCCAATTCCAGGAGCATTTTTTTTTTCGCCCCCCCCCTAGAGAAGCCCAGGCCCAGGCCCCACTTGCTGGAGATTGAGGACTCATTGTCAATTCCACGAGCTGGAAGTGGCCCAGGTGCTAGAGATAGTCAAGATTATTGATTTCATTATAGCTACCTGTGTAAGAGTAGCAATTCCACCACAACTTCTTATATTCCTCTCGTCTGTTTGAAGACACAACTGTCTGCTCCTGCAAGCACTTGTATATACTGTAGGCTCTATGTGGTGAGGGTGGATACCTATACTGTATGGTCTCAATGATGGAGTGTGGAAGATTGTCTTGATTTGATGGCTTAAGATATCCAATGAAAGAGAGAGATGGGCATATAGCTAGAGAGCATAGGAAAATGGAACTTCCAATGTGGATGAAATGAGATGAGATGAGATGAGATGAGATGAAGCATTGGGTGCATCAAACAGCTGGCATTGGGCTTGTGGCTGTATGCGTGCAATTCCATTTGAGACCAAAGGCGGTTGCGTAGATGCAACACCTGGGCACGAGAGATTGGGATCCTGACTTTGAGCAAATTGTTTTGCCATACAAGCCATTGAGCAAATGCTCTAGACAGCAGCACAATATGGATGGTGCTTCGATTGGGTTTGATTGTCCTCCAAGAACACATGGGCACCATGTGAGAGGGAAACTTGCTGGGCGATCAATGATGGGGATGGGGTCCATGGAATGCCTGGTGCAAATGGGTTCGTGCATGATTAGGTGGCCCAATGGAAGATCAGAACCATTTGGGTACAACATTGGTTGCTCCTTATGATTCATGCTATTGGTAGGGCAATTTTTTTGCACAATCTATTGGTTTACTTTTGGGTGGGTGTTGGTGAGGTCCAATGAGGTTTTGAGCTTGGGTGGCATCGCGAGAATGTCCTTGGCAATGTTGGGTGAATATTGGGAGCATGCTGAGCATGCCAGGTTTGGTACAACCTGACTTCATGTATGTCTATGTGTTAGGGTGAAGAGAAGGTAGCCTTGGGAATGAGTAGTGGCCACACAGCCAATTCAGACCCTCAGTGTATCTAAGGCTGGATCATTCCATGGGCTTCATAAGATTCTTTGGAAGATTTCGTCATAGATGGGGGGATATGGAGCATAGATCTGAAGAGCCATTGGGTGAGAGCAGTGGAGATGAGCAGGATTGGTCCAATCGAACTTGTGGGATAGGATGTGAGCTCCCAAGTGACCCTGAGAATGAGGATGAGGCTTATTATGGGTAGGACGTCAAGAAGGCCATGCAAAACCCAATTCCAATCAGTCATCCAGGTCCAGTACTACTAAGCAAGTTTCTCAACTTTTGTTGGGCGTGGTGGGCACATTGTGTTTCAAGATAATGATCTTCTCTCCATTTCATAAAGAATGTGGAGGGAGAAGCCCATTTCATAAAGAATGTGGAGGGAGAAGCCCAAAAAGTGCTACCTTTGAAACAATGAGAATGCTTATGGGCAAGGAAGGGTAGAGTTGGATCCAGAGGTTTTTTAAACAAGAAAAGTTGGTTTTGTTTGGGAAACAGGAGCACAAGAACATATCTAGACTATAACCATGGAAACTCTGACTAAACATGACAAAATCTAAGAAAAACACCACAAAAGCACGTAAAAACCACGCCCGCATAACGTCGAGCTCTCTTATCTTTTGTTCTACGTATACGTCGTATATTCTTTGGTCTGTAGGGTCCCTCTTATTCCATTACCCGGTTCCCAACAGTGGTCTCTTTTTAAGGTGACTC